AGTGCCCGGTGGGGGCGCGTGTGCGGGGCACAGCGCAGCACCTCCCCGGGCCGTGCTGCCCCCGGCTGTGCAGCCCCAGGAACAGAATGGAACGGAATGGGGGGGCTCCCGCCGTCCCTGGGAGTGGGGTGATCCCGCTGACCCGGGGACAGGACAGGGGGTTCCGTCTGTCCCGGGCCTACGGGGAATGTCTGCATGCTCCTGCACACATGCTTGGACACGGAGGGCACAGTCGGCGAGGCCCTGTGCCAAGCAGCAAGCTGGGTCCCAGCTGAGGGGTGCACTGAGCCTGGCACCGAGTATGGAACCTCTGCTCCGCTGCGAGGAGGCCCCTTGCCTACCGGACCAGCCAGCAGGTACCTGACCTGCAGGAAGATAAAATCATAGCAAATCAAACAGGGGCTTTCTTATCATCTAGATTTATTGCGAAACAAATGGACTGGAAGCTCAGCACCTCCTGCTGAGGGGCCGGGCCAGAAGGTTTTAAGTCGTCAGGAGCTTTTCATCCCCAGTGCTTGGGTGGCTTTGGCCTCCTTGCAAGGTGAGAGGACGCATTTGGGTGCTGCTCTGATTTTTCACTTGGTTAGGGAATAGAAGAGCAGGAATCTGAGGCGCAAGCTGGCAGTGCCTTCTGGGCTCCACTGGGTCTCTGTCAGACCCAGGCAGGAATGGGGCTATTTTGGAGCCAGCCATTTTCCGTAGCACAGAACAGTCCTCTCAGTACCAGGAATGAAGCCTGGCCCAAATGAACTTCTGCAACCTGCAGGCCTGGCATGTGGATGTCATTGTGCCTCCTGCCCCCCCCGCCCTGTGCCAGCGGGCATTCTGCGTGTTCTGTTGGCTCCTTGGGAGCTGCTTGTGCTGATTGACCCCTGTCACAGCCCCAGCCCTGCCATCCCTGCTGCAAAGGTCTCCAAGCCCTGCAACAGCCTCTGCTGGCCCCAGCCAGCCTTGCCCTGGGAGCTGTTCCCCCCACCAATCTCATGCAGCACAACTATCTGCCTGCCCACGGAAACATCCGTTTCTGCTGCCAGCTGGGCTGTGTCCATGCACAACTTGGCACCCTCTTAAGCTTCCTGCCCGTGAAGTTGCAGCAGCTTGGGATCTCTCCTGCCACTTCAGAGATACCAGCCAGCAAACTGACAGGGCCAGAGGCTGCAGCCAGGTAGTCACTGGCCTGCAAGCTCAGGGGAGAGAAGGCATGGCATTCAGAGAGGCCAGGGCAGCAGTGCTCAGCCCTGGGGCAGCAGGGAGAATCCATATGTGACTGCTGTGAACCTGGGGTCCTTAGGTACCTTCTCTGCTGTTGATGCTGCCCAGTTCATGGGAGGTGGAGACCCTCAAAACATTTCCCTGGCAGAGCATGGGCGACTGCCTTCTCCAAATATGGTAGCGCTTAGAGCAAACATGCTACGATCAGACCCCTCCATTCCTTTCCCCTGCTGTGCTGAACTTCAGAAGGGCTTGGGGCAGGCTCCACCCAACTCTTGCTGGGTGATGACTCTGTTCCAGGCTGTTGAAGTAATTCTTGCAAATGTGTTCTGTTGCAAGCACTGTTTTCAAAAAGGTTTCTGGAAGGATGCAGCCTCTTTGGCCCAAAAAGGAAGAGGAAACAATTCCTGCTGCTTCTGTTCAGGTGTGAGCCAAACCCCACCGGAGACAATAGAATGCAAAGCCATCTAGAAGCTGCTGCTCAACCTTCTAGTGCCCACCACAGTGGGCATCTCCCCCTGTGTGGGGACCTTAGAACTTGACAGATTTGCCGGAGCATGACCCACCTCTCTGGGAGGCCACAGCGCTGCGAACCCTCTGCTGTAGAGGTGTATGCTACCTGAGGGGTTCAGCCAGATGGGAGCAGGTAGCTCTGCCATGCAGGATTGCACCAGACTCCTTAGTCGCTGTGGGTACCTCCTTCTGCCCATGGTGGTGCCAGGGCTGTCACTGCAGGTGCAGCCCCATGTCCAGAGGCACGGCAGGTCTCTTACTTCTTGCTGCCAGGCTGTAAGTACTGTCACAGCATTTGCCCGGGCACAGTGCCCAGCCTCTGCACTCTGGTGAGGGACTGGGCTGTTGCTGCAGCCCTCTGCCATCCTGTGGCTGGTTTGTGCTGCACTACAGGTGGGCACTTGGTTCCTGGCCAGGGGCCTCTGAGCTGCTCCACAGCTGCACACACTTGCACTTGCAAACCCAGTTGTTCTTGACTCCCTGGCAAGACATCAAGACTGCATCCTTTCCAGCAGCTGTGCCCATCACAGCAGTTCCAGAAGGCTGTAAACTGCAAGAGAAGACTCAGGTATCACTTCCAGTCCTGCATGACATGCAGTTGCAGCACTGCCAGCCCAGCCTGATCCCAAGGGGTTGGGGGCAGTCTGGCTGGGGATACCCACCCTATTCCTCACTGTGCCCTGGGGCAAAATACCCTCATCTGGGCAGGTACAGCATCTATATACATGCACACACAGAGCAGGGTCCACTTATAACCTAGGCACAGCAGCTGTCTCAGCAGAGCATCTATCCCAAAATGTGTCCGTATCCTTCACTCCCATCCTAGGAGCAATGCCTGTCGCTATGCTGCACCCACACTGAAGCAACATCCCAGTCTGAAGGGGCTGGAAAGCCTGGCCACAGTTAACAACTGGGGTGGGACTGCACCTGGTCAGCCTGAGCTGCATGTAGGCTACAGTTCTGCCAGGCCAGGACCAGCAGCACGAGGTCCTGGTGGGCTGTCTGGTATCTCTTGCTCTCCCCATGGCCTCTCAGAGGCTGGGGAGATTGCTCATCATGCTGGAGTTGCTGGAGAGAGGTGCTCTGGGCCGGGCATTCAGTGCTACAGAGCTGCGGAAGCTCTCCCGGTAGCGCAGGGAGCTCTCTGTGGATGAACCAGAGTTGATGTCTGTGATGACCAAGCAGTTCCCAGGCTTGCAAAGCCCAATCCTGACACAGCAGCAGCACAGCAGGCTTCCCACAGCACGGCGCACCTCCACACTCCGGAGGGAGTAAATGATGGGGTTAACACCTGAGTTAAGCATGGCCAGAGCCAAGGTCCAGTCCAGGCTGTGGAGGTGTGTGCAGGTCTGGGTCTCACAGAAGACGTCAAAGAGCAACAGGACAAAGAGGGGGCTCCAGCAGATAATGAAGGCACCCAGGATCATCAGCACAGTCTTGAGCAAGCGCAGGGATCGTTTGCGGCTATGCCGAGAACTGGTTTGCTTAGAACTGGCCTGGACCAGCTGGAAGATGGAGATGTAGAGGCCGATGATCCCCAGGAGGATGATGCTGAACATGACTACGGAGAAAAGGATGTAGTTCTTGGAGTAGAGAGGCAGGAGGACAGAGCAGGCATTGAAGTCACACAGACAGTTCCAGCCCAGCAGCGGAAGCAGTCCAATGATGAAGGCCAGCAGCCAGCAGGAAATGATCAGGCTGCGTAAGCGCAGGGTCTTGCTGGCTTCATTCTCAGCAATTGGCCTTACCATGGCACTGTAGCGCTCAATGGCAGTCACAAGCAAGCTGAAAGTGGAGGCAGCCAGCGCAATGAAGAGGATGCCTTCCCGCAGGAACCAGAGCTGAGGTGAAAGCCGGAAGGTCTTCTTGCCTGAGAGGCAGAGATTAGAAAGGTAGGCAATCCCTGCAAGCAGGTCGCTCACGGTGATGCTGGCAATGCAGGAGTAGACCCAGCGGCGGGCTCGCAGACACCGCAGGATGGCCAGGAGCACAAGCAGGTTCTCCAGGATGATGATGCAGCTGATGATGGCAAAGGTTGTGCGGATTAGACCCATGCCCTCATCCCCAGACTGCCGGTTGGTCAGCTTGCCTGTGAAGTTGTAGTGCTGCAGGATGATGTTAACATTCCTCATGGCAGCCAGCTGCAGGCAGGAACCTTTTCTGTCAAGCAGGTCAAGTCTGAGCTCAGGATATTGAGCAGAGCCCAGTGGAAAGGAAAGGGAGCGATTCACCAGCCAGCTCAGCTCTGGACCATCCATCTTCTGAGCCTAGGTCAGCAGCCAAGGGATGCACGATGAAGCAAGGGTTGAGGTGGGGTTTGGAGCAGAGCAGACTGAGGGCTGGCTGGAGACAGCTGTGAGACTCTGCCACACAGGACTGGCTCTGAGTCCAGCAGCCCTACCCAGCGTGGCGGTGAGAGTTAGAGCCCTGTCTGCCAGTCCCGTGGCACTGAAAGAGCAAGGGGAGAGGAGGGTGAGGTGTTTTGTAAGTCCACGCATGAGCATGGGCTTCCTGTTGTTTAATAAAGTTTCCTGTTGTGAGCTAGAGTATTGACATCGTTTCTAACAGCTGTCATCATTTCTCGGTAAGGGTCTGGCTATTCTCAGCTTTGCTGTGGTTGTGAAGGTGGGACATGAATGAAATAACATCGGGCCCCTCTTTGAGTCAGGGCAGGCCGGGTCGAATGGGGTAACACCTCTCCACCTTGATGGGTAGGGTCTGTTGGGCTGAACAAAGCCAAGTGCTAGTAAGAGCACCCAGACAGCCTGAGACACTAAGTGCTTTGCCTTTTGTGGTGTTAAATTCACTCCTGAGCCTGGCAGAGAGCAACTGCTTCTTCATCAACTGCCTTGTGCACCACCCAAGCCCAGATACATCCTTCTCCAAGAGGAAGCTCCACGCTCTCACCCCTCCGGGCTCCACCATGGGCCCAGCTCCTGCCAGTCTCTCAGGACACATTCATCCAAGTCCTGCCCTGTCAGCGCAGCCAGTCCAGGGACCTGTGTGTCTGAAGCTAGGGCTCGGCTCCACCCAGTTCAAAGGAAACCAGCTGGTCAGTGCCCTGCATGTGCCCTGACACTGCACCTTTCACCTTCAGCTCTCCAAGCACCTGCTAAAGATGGGTCAGGATCTTCCCATTGTCTAGGTCACAGACAGGGAAACAGAGGCACAAAGCTGCTGCCTCTTGCCTGGCATTGCAGAAGGCACAAGGGGCTGCACTGAGACCAGAACCCGGGAGTCCTGACATGATTGTAATATTAATGTCTATCATTGACCTATTCCCTGCTTCTGCAAAAATTGACTGGAGAGAGAGAGTCTTGCAATGTGCTATTCCCAACCACGGCTGTTGAATTTACCTTATGACTTACCTGTCATGACTGGCCCGAGGCTCTTGTTACCGAAGGGAGGTTCAGCAGCTAGTAGTGCTCTCCAGCTGCTTGTCTGAGGCCCAGCACAGAGCAGGTAGTGGGGAGGGCTCCTTGTGTGAAATAAAGAGAGACTTCTACCTACCAAAGTGGAAAAAGGGAAGTTACAACATCAACCACATTTCTGTGCAGGATGGACCCCACCCAAAACAGCTGCAAAGAGGCATAGAGAAAAGAAAGACAGAGCATCTTTTAACTCAGGATCACAGCAGAAGCTGTGCCCTGCTTTCTGCTTTCACCTGTGTTCTCTGGCAGAGAGAACTGGCACAAAGCCATGGAGAGGTCCCCAGGTTGAGAGCAAAGAGCAGTGATTTCTTCCATGAGCATGGCAAGCAGGGAGTTGTCCTGAGAATCCATCCACTGCTTGATGAGCGGAGAGATCCCAGCCTGGATCGCAGCATAGACAAGTGGAAAATGCAAAGGAGGTTCCTGCTGCAGGAAGTCATGTGCAAGCAAGAGTGGTTCTCATCAAAAGCCGAGGGCTCCATCCTCCACATGCACCCTTTCAGCTGGTGTTTTGGGCTTTTCTATCAGCAGCATGGAAAGAAACTCATGCTGATAAAGTCAGCAGATGACCCCAAGATTGAAGGAGTGGAAATCAGCAGGAAGGCTGGGCCATGAGTGCAGCACAAATCCAGAGAAGAGGAGTGCAAGGTTGCACATTCAGCACAAAGAGCACACTCCCAAATGGGCTGGGTAGATGCTCCCAGCACAGCACTGGAATCAAAAGGGTCAATGTGATCCTTGCACATCACCCCTGCTTTATTCTTGCTTCAGGCTGAGCCTCCAGCTAATGTATCTGCTCAGGACAGAACTGGTGGGGTGTCCCTAAAAGATCACAGGATGAAGAAACTTGCCTTGTCAGGGGCCCTAAGTAGCTTCTCAAATAGCTGGCAGCATGTGAGCAGTCTCAGGAAAGAGATATCTGACAGGAACGAGCTCTTTGTCAGGGAGATCTGTGGAGAGTGTGGGGCAGGTCAGAGGCAAATGCTTTTGATGGCAGGAGGGCTTGAGGCAGATAAGCAGCTGGAAGAGCTCAACACACTCGCGCATGGGGTGCCAGGTCCTCTGGACCGGCAAAATATCATAGGCTCTTCCTAACACCCCTTCCACAAGCACATCAGGTGCTGCCTAAAAGGCAGGGCTGATTATTTTGTCAAGAGCTGTTCCAGTGAGACAAAGCCTTGTTCCTTGCTCTGTCCTAGCACCTAGCTT